TCCCCTGGGGATATCAGCTGTCTCTGGCGGGTATCCGCCATGGGGATAGATTAGCGGGTATCCGTGACGGATACCCTTTGACCATCTCTATTCAAAACACATTTGCATTGTATTAGAACTTGGTATTGATCAGCGTATTCAGTGTATTTTCTCCCCACTGCTTTAAATTGCATTTCGTAGTTTTGTATGATTAAGGAGATGGATTTTACCACTGTTTTTTCATCTCTTTAGGGTCTTTGTCAACCAACTCCCAAAAATTGGAGTTCTGACCCCCAAATGTTTGGGATGCCATGAGGACCACCTGTTGACAGGGGCCAGGACATCCTGACCCCCGGTTTTTAGGGACTTGTACCTCCAAAGGGTCCGACTTGCTTAGAAGTTTTGAGATACCTGTATGTAGTCATCATATTCTTGTGGTGAGGTATGCTTCTACTAAGCACATCATCCCTACTATATTGCCGGTTTCTTTCTCTTCTCCTCTCCTTATCAAAATCTAACCATAAATTTCTCACTCAGTCAGCCTCATAGTGAGTTTGTTTGTCATCTCTCTGTTTTGATCACCTGGTTCCCCTTGTCAGCCTAAGTGATGCCAAGAGCAGGACTCTTCTAGCTACACTAGGTGCACGGATGAAATAAAATATGTACATGTGTAGGTGTCACGTGAGAAGTGTGGGGAGGTTTGGTAATAAGAGAAAAAGAAAATAAGAAATATTAAGTTTTTATTGCCAGAGGGGCCTGAGTTACAGGGGTATTTACTGTGCCCTCTAATATCAGGTCCTGTAGAACAGGGGTGGTACTGATGTTCTAGTCCTTAATAAAGGAGTAAACCCAGAAATGCCTACAACTGAAGTAAGAAAGAGATAATACTTACTGTTACTTATCTCTAAGCCAAGAGGTTCTTCAGGAGGGGGGAAACTGTTCTTGAAGTGCTCAGAAAGGTGGTTGAGAAAATGCAGGTTGAAACTGGATGTTGGTGACGGTTTATGCTGGTAAGTAATGATGAAGATGAGGAATCAAAGTTCAGGAACAAGAAGGGGTTTTTAAATACTCAGTTTGGTCCCCTGGAGTCAAGATCAGGAGCCTCTCTGGCTGCTGTAGCTCTCCTACTAAGCCATGGGAACTTTTGGATCATCTGTAGCACCTGTAGAGCTTAGTTACAAGTGTCAAGGGGATGATGTAATGATTGCAACTATGTTTGCAGGGTGTTCTGACAAAACTGAAACAATCATTTAGCCTATTTCATCACTGCATGCTGCATGGGCTGATCATTAATGAGAGTAGTTGTCCCAATTGGGCCAAAAAGGGCCACAGATCATCCCAAAGAATTTAATAATGTAGTCTGTGCTCCTGTAGTTAAGGTTTCAACGATTTAAATCTTGTTTGTAGATTTTTCCCAAACTGCATGAACCTTAATTACACCTGTAGTCCCCTTAGAGCCTGTAGTATGATGTAACTGGAGGGGTCTGTAGTGTATTTTGGGTCTATAGTCACTCAAGGGTTACAAAGTAAGGGAATGAGTAATAATTAAGGGGTACTCTTGGTGAGGTACCCTAATTAAATTTGCATGTAGATTCAGAATCTGAAGTAATATTCTAAGTTATACTTAAGGTTCAGAAGTTATTTATGAATTCTGGGTTAAAATGTCAATTTTATTAAGGGCCTTAATAAAAAAATGTGGGTTTTCCACATTTTGATGCAGTTTTGTAGCTTTGCAGCACTGTGCAGCTCTGCGCACTGCGCAACGCACACAGTTTCCGCGTTTGGAAGCGTTCTTTTGATTAATTTGTTACACCTTTTTTTTAAATTCTAAAGTTGTTTCCTACCTTATAAAATGTGAAGAATTTTATGGTATAATCCAATTTCCATAAAAACCACAGGTTCATTTTTAATACTGAAGTTAGACACTTTTTTTCAATTAATTCTTCACATGTTATTTCTCAATATTTTTTGACATTTTAAATTCATTTGCCACACTTTGAGACATGTTAAAACTGATTGTAATGATCACTTTGCATGAAAATAAACCTCCAGCAGACCCACAATTGAGTCACTGGGGGTAAGCTTTGACAGGTTGATTTTTTGCACTAAGATGGACTTGTGCTTCAACTCTGGGGCAGTGAAACCTGCAAGCACCTGCTGACTTTGTTGGATCAACTCTCAGCCGCAATTCAACTCACCCCCTTGAATAACTCTCATGACCCCTCCATACAAGCATGACTACAATGGAAAAAAGCAATTGATACTTTGACACAGACCCAAACCCCAACACCCAGCGCTTTGAAAAGGAAAAAAGAGGCAAAAAAAGAAAGCTGAAAAATATTAAAAAGGATGCTACTCCAAAACAGGCCCAAACTTCAATCATGGAATTGGATGATATGTGATGTGTTACCAAGTTTGTAACCTGTCTCTGGTCCTGGAAGAGTGTTCTTCTGCAGCAAGCAGGTACAAATGTGTAGCACCTTTCACCTACCTGGTCAAGAGGACTTCTGCCGGCAAGCAGGAGGTGTGCATACTTAATCGTGAGGTAGAGTTAGTTCGGACAACTTACAAGCAGGCAAGGCCAAGTGCGTAGTGACAAAAGTTTGCTCCTATATATCTCCTCCTCGGCAACTAGGAATTGTACCTTCAGCAAGCTAGCTTCAAACAGTACTTGCCTAGTTCCGTGTTGGACTCAACAAGGATTGAAAAATGCAAATCACTGCAGCAAATGTGGACTCAGATTGACTTTACCTGACTTGTCTCACTCGATGCAAAAATCAGTATTAAGGTTTTGGTTTCTGGTTTTGGCCTCTGCAAGCGCAACTTTGACTGCATTGTTTTGTGGCATAAAGTTGATTTCTGTCAAGCACAAAGGTGTTGAGTTCAGTATTTGGCTCAAACATCTACTCTTGTTCAGGGCCACTTCGCAACCAACGTCTCCCCAGCTCTCCCCAGTACTTAGTGAGTTGTAAATTGGTGGGGCTAATTTATTCCTGAGGCATTTCGAAGACTCATCTGGCATCATTAACGTTTCAGTGATCGGAATTAACGATAAGGACAGTTAGTGCGGAGTCTCAAGAGCGGTAAGCCGGTGACAATCACAAGTCAGGTCCAGGGATTGCTGTGGGGATATGATGAGTTTCCACTTTTATCTGCTCGTACACACCGGTCCCTAGACGCTCAACTTCCTTCTCTTTTAAATTTTCAAGGGACCAGGTGAGTAGGCCGAGCAATGACTTTCTGCTCTACATGCACTACATAGCTTCATATGTCAACGAACTGATTGACTATTATAAACGATACTAACAGTCTGGCGGCAAAGGAACACCTTGATATACGCAGCCAACCAACTGACCTGCCCTCCGCTCTGGTCTACCGGTCAAACCATCTATTACTTTGCGGTCAGTCACCACCTCCTTCTTGCGTTCGGTTCGCCATTGGCCTTGCTGAAGCTCAACAATAATGATGCAGGCAAAACTACGGGACTTAGTCTCACCTCAACGCGAAACGAGGTCAAAATGCTTCTTCTAACAATCGCCTCGCTCTTCTGCCTCGTGGCCACATACGGATCGGTAGTTCTCGAAATTCCAACTAGCTGCCGAGTCTGCAAGTCCGAAGTACGTCAATTTAATCTGCAAGAGCAATGCGGAGCTCACTTGATGTGCACACATGAGAAGGCGCTTAAAGCCACTTGTCACAACATGTTCACACGAATCGACTTCGTCTGCCAGAATGAAGGATGTCCTTGGACTTGGCAATCTCCTATTTTAGAGAAATGCGAAAACAAGTTACATCTTGGCTTCTGTGAAACCTGCCCTGATGCAACATTCCTGGAGCCATATTTAGAAGTTAGACACCAAGAAATCAGGCCTCAAGGAATCAGACCTCAAGTCATCAGACCCCAAGCACAAGGCTATATTATGTAGCTAGTGTGAAACTATATTTTTTTTCATCTCCATCCAAATAAATCACCAAGATTGAAGAAAAACATGTGATTATATCACTACCTCCAATGGCATTGAGCACTGTAAATAGTTAATATATCTGAAACATTGTTTTGATGTTCACAAACCCCTCCAATTTTGAATCTAAATTCTTGAGACTAAGACATGAAGAGTAGGAATGAGGAGGAACTATGATGTTATGCACAGGTGTGTTTTCAGCAATTACAGGGGAATCAATTTAACAAAATCAGATAAAATTTTGTCTGTAAATTGTAATCAAGAAATATCTGAAGTTTTAATCATCTTTTATAGAGTCAATAAATGACCCTGGCAAGCCTCCTCAACAGTGTGGGTGAATGTTGTCAGCCTCTGTGTAACTCACCTGAGGTGTTTATGAGATGGTTGTTACTATGAGTGTTGACTGAGTTGTTTGAGAGTGGTGAGTATTTGGTAGTGGGAGGTAATACATGTCCTTTGAAGAGGAGGTTTCACTCAATCTGTATGGTCTTTACCAAGAGGCTTGCTATCAACAGTGCATCCAGATCAATACAAGGTATTAATAGGCATTCAGGGTACTAAGACTCACCTGGGATTGGTTATTCCCCAAAAGGAATGGATGGGCTTACAATGAGAGGTAAGCTTTAACAGAACCTTTGAAGTGTAATCAATTATTCTAGCTTGGAATTAGCAACCTTAAATGGTCAGTGGATCATAGTTTTGTTGGGCCACATGTTTAGCACCCTTTCAAGTCCATCCTCAAGATACTACAGGCTTTCAAAGTTCAAGTTCAGTGAATCCCAAGTTCCTGTTGTGGTTTCAGACTCCAAAGACCAAAGACAGAACAAAGACCAAAAACCAAAGTAAAGACCAAAGTGACCATATTTTTAAGACTCAAGTTTCAAGACTAAGGGTCCATTCGGACGCACAAGGGCTTGAATTTCAAATTTTCAAGATCAGGATCTAATCTAAGTGAGATACACAATGGCAGCCAAGCATGTCTTGGTATCTGAACCCATGACACTGGAGATCAAGATCCTGGGATCAGGACTGTTTGGCTGTCTAGCTGAAATCTCATCTCTGGGGCTGATCACTGAACAGGTCCAACAACCTCTTTATGACCAGAACAAACATTCATGAAGAGCAATACAGCTATTGATGCCAGGTTGTTCCAGTCATCAAAAGAAGCTCTTGATGACCAGAAAAAATGTGCATCAAGAGAAAACAGATTTTGATGCCTGTTTGTCCCATCCAAGAGCTGTTGTTACTTGATCATCAGCTTTTTCTGGTCATAAAAAGACTACAGCTCTTGATGACTAGATGACCGGAATGACTGATCATCAAGAGACTGTAGCACTTGACAATTTTTTGCTCCGGTTATCTAGAGCTGTAGGTAACAAAGATGATAAAGCTCCTGATGATCATGTGTTCAGGCATCAAGAGCTGTAGACTGTTGATGACTGGTTGTTCATGACCATTCAGTTTCCTGATGAGTGGTTTGAGCCATGCTGTGTTGAGCCATGAGATTCTGAATCTGGAATCAGAAGATTCATCAAAATAGGTCAATCTCATTTTGGTGGAGACTCAGATTCAGGATCCCAAATTTTTTGAGTTTCAACATTTTCTGAATGGTTTTTTTTGGATATCATTTTGAATCTCAAACCATCAGATTCTGGATCTTGCAACAATCTCAAATTTGCAGGGGCTTGAGATATTCACTCCAGATTCACCTGCATGTTTCAATGGCCCCTAAAGACCAAAGACCAAAATGACTGAATTCTTACATCCTAATTTTTTAGTTTCAAGGGCAAAATTTGAGACAATGCTGGACAGGCATGCCTAAGGGTGGGCCCCAACCCCGACCCAGTTGGGTATACCCGACTATCCGACCCGGCTTGTTGGAACGCGGGAGGATATTGAGGGATTTTTACCCAATTGGATATCTTTGGGAATGGACCTCAGGCAGAGTCTTGGAAAGGGTCGGAGACCAACCTTTCACTTCCAGTGGTATTTGGAAGCTGAAATCAAAACAAAAAAAATAAGAAAAGCAAGGAGGCTCATGGTCAGGCCATGCTTGAGGCACTTACAGTTGTTTGGTGTCCGTTCTGAACCACAGATGTTTGTGATAATGGACCACTGAGTCTGAGATTTGGGTTGCATTACACCACATCTGACAGAACGGAGATCTTACTTACATAACACCCCCACGTTCAAACCAGAGCAAATGACTGGGATCGAAGTTGAAGGCAACCTCTTTCAGGAGGAAAACTAACGTTTTTGATGAAAACTCCCCCAAAACAAAATTGCTGCCGAAGGCAATCTGGCAGTCGGTCCCCGTGGGGGTTACCCAATAACCGTCGGATACCTTCCGGGACTAGGAAATTGGGTACCCAACCTTGGTATACCTGCAGGGTATCAGCGCGGAAGGCTCCAGAGGCCTCGGGTATCACCCGGGGCCCAGCTTAGGCATGCCTGGGGAGGAGGAAAAGAAAATTTGTGGCCATGTTTATATCTTCTAGGGAGAAAAAACTTCCCAATCATGATGTCAACACATCCAGGTGATTCAATTCCTGATTAGTAAATTTTTCTTTAACCAATCATTAAGTTCCTGAATTTTCTAAATGCTGGAATGTCAAGATTTCTGCTTGTTTGATAGATTGGAATGAGTTAGATGTGAAAATCTATGTCCTCCTGTGAGATCTTCAACAAGTTTGATTTCTTTCTACTTGAAATTTTGCTTTGATGCCTAGTGTCTGTTTCTCATTAGATCATTTTTTTCCAAGTTCTCAAGCTTCTATGTAATTTTTATCTTGTTTCCCTTTTATTCTCAATAATGTGAGACATGAACCAGTTTTACACCTGGCTGATCTTATTGTTGAGGCTGAGAAAAAGAACAGCATACACGGACCAAGTTGACATTATACTGTTGAACTGAGGTAATTGGAGCTACCAGAATTTTTAGATGTTACTTTTCCACCTTGAGAGCTGTAAAAAGCCAGGGACAGCTTTAACTTTCTAGCAACATTGAACTACCAAAACTATTTGTACTGGTTGTTAATAGAGGTGTGATAGATACAAGTCAATGAAAAAAGGTTGCTTTAGATACCAAGCTTGGTTCTCAAGCTAAATCAACAGAAGGAGGCTATGCCGCAGGGACCCTCCTTTGGAGGGTCGCTTTGGAACAAACGTCTGTTCTATCTCAATTTATGAATTACAGGCAGTGCTCTCATCCTCAAGATCAAAAAATGTCAACGTGAAAGTGTCTCTGTGCACTGCAGTGGAACTGGGTGAGTGGACTTGGACTTGAATCTCATGATTTCTGAGCTCAACAACATGGCCCAAGATTTTTTCTTGAATCTCACCTGGTGCTCATGATCAAGACCAATTCACAAAATAATATGGATTCTATTGCTCCAGGGTTGTTCAGCTTCTAAAACCAGTGTTCAAACATCAGCAGATGAAATTTATATAGCAAATCATGAACATCTCAATCTTGGTGTTTGTGGAGGTCATGAGCCCAAGATTTATTTCCTCAAATTGCACTTGGTGCTCAAGATTGAAACCAAACAGTTTCAACTTTCTTGGCTCACTGGGTTAGGCCACAACAACATTCAAGTGCAAGGTAATCTAGGTCTAAATTCTGTGTTGGTTTCTGGCAACAAGCTGAATTCATACCCAAAAAAAAGAATTCAATACCCTTTCACTCAAGCTAGTAGTGTAGTTATTTTTTTTGAAGTGACCAAGTTTTGTTACAATGTTCTTTGGAATTGGGATCTCATAATCTCAGGAGCAGGTATATTTTCATTTCTAACAGGAAGATGCTCAGGATCAGATCTCAGAAACATAATCATAAAAAAGTGTGTATTTTTGCATGGCAAAAACTCAGTAACCTTGTTGCCAAGGTATTCAGCTCCTGGGGGACCTTGTGGTTCTTGCCCAGCAGGTCCCCTAGCATTCAGAAAGTCCTTGAGAATTGTGGATGAACAGAGTGTGTTGGCTGTAGACAAAAACACTAAATAAGAGATTGATTTATGTTGAGTTACATGTAATGTTATCAATATAAATGTTAACTGTGTTTAAATGGTGTCTGAATATTTTGGGGATTGATTAGTGAAAGTGGCACATATTAGGGGGTATCAAATATAATCAAATCCACCATTATTTAATTGACTGGTTTGAAAAAAATCCACTCTTTTTAAAACATGTTGGTTCTTCATTTAACCCCTTTTAGGGCCCATTGATGCAAATTTTTTTTTTTGGGAAAAGTCACTGGTTTCTAAAGGTGGATTTCCTATATTTGATACCCCCTATTATATATTGTTCCAGAATATGAGAGAGGGAAATGTGACACACTCAAAACCAAGGGATACTTGCCCAGGGTACTGAGTACATCAATTAGTTGACTGGTCATTATTTAGAGTGATCAGTAAGTGACATGATGATCTGTTACTAGTGGATCAATGTACTGGTTGATCTTGATGCGTACGCACTTAACTTATCCTCTAATAACGTATTCATTATTGTGATCAGTACACCTATTGAATGTATTAAATCTACTGACAAAAAATTAAATAACATTCATGACATCTGCATATTTATTTGAAGGGATTTTTGTATGTATGTGAAAATACTGTAAAACAGGGGCAAGTTATTTCAAAGATAAATAAGTGAAACAGAAGAGATCATTACTTATGTACAAAACAGATGTGCATTTAAAAGATAATGTAATACTTTGAGCTCATATGTAATTAGGATGAATAAGATAAGGAGCATAAAAAACAACTTCCAAATACCATTGATAGACGTCCCTTGGCAGTTTTTCCTACAAAGGGATGGCCATCCTTTTTTTTGGGAGTTCGCTCCCCAAACCACCCCTCAAGCTTGGAAGGGGGGGGGAGAGTTGCTCCCACATGACCGGAAGGATTTTCTTTGGGTTGATGAGGTCCTACCTCATTAACCTCTAGAGTTGTCTCAACTTGGTAAGCCCCTTGGCTTTTGGTTAGTCTCCTCCCAACCCAACATCCCACACTGCCACCCTCCTTGTGCCTGTTTCCACCCACTCCTTTGTGAGTGAAGAACTGATCCTAGATTCACTGCTTTCTGTCTTGCAATCACTCTGCTCAAGCTCCTAGATTCTTTCCCCACACACCTTCAAAAGCTTTACACATGAGGATTCCATCTTTTTTTCTTCTTTCATTCTTGTAGTGTTGAGACAGAAAACAAAGGGAATTGACACAATTCACAACTGTAGCACCCCTTGTTGGATTTCTGTTCTGACAAGACCACTGGAGGCCTATTAAGGATAGCTGTCCATGATACCCTGTAAAATGTGGTCCAGAGTCTGAGTGATCTGAGAACCATTGGAGATGCTCTAAGCTATATTAAATAAATAATTTCAGCATCTTTTTTCCAGCAACTTACTGATGTGAATAAAGCAACAGCAGACTAGTAAGAATAGATCTATAATTTGCCTTCAATTAGACAATTTTTCTTTTGATAGACTGAGATGTTTCTATTTTGTCTTAATTTTTTATCAATTAGCCTTCAAAGCACCAGTGCTAATACCAGTTCCTCCTTTGGGAAGTAATTCTGTGTAAGCCTATGGCTACTGATGTAGCACTGAACCTTAGATTAGAACTATTCAAATTCTTGCAATGTCTTTCTCTTCACTCCTTTGTCAAATTTATAAGAAAGAACTCTTCCTGTGCTGAAGAGATGTCATTCCTGTTTTTTTTTCTTCTTCCTCCTAATTTCCTTTGTCCAGACATGTGAAGTCATCTGATCCCCTTCAAAACGGTCTTTGGTAATTGCTCAATAAGCTACAGCCTACGTGAGGATACATGTAGCAATTCAGCTTCATCGAGCTCAACAAAACTTCAAGATAGAGGATATTTGTGTAACTTTCTTTGAGGAGACTTGTTTCTAACAGTTTTAATGAGACAGATTCACTATCGATGAGGTGATGTCAACGCGGGGGGATGCACAAACTCTAAAACTGCCCGCTGTCCAGGACCCGGCAAAGGGAGGAGATATGTACACTCTGATTAGCTAAGCAACACACTACCAAGTACTACCTCCTCCCGTCTCATCTCAGACTCAGAGCAAACCATCAACAAACCAACTACCACTACCCAAAACCAAGCCAGCACACAGGATACTCTCTGCAAGAACAAAACACATCTCTCGAGTAACACGATGGCCTCCCGAAAGAAAGTGCTCCTCAAAGTTATCATCCTTGGTGATTCAGGAGTCGGCAAGACGTCCTTAATGAACCAATACGTCAACAAGCGATTCTCAACTCAATACAAGGTACACCGTCCCTCCCATCCTTTCTCCCTTGATTGAACTGAAGTATATTTTAATGATGATGATCCCCTCCTTCTGTGATATACAACAGGCTACAATCGGGGCGGATTTCTTGACCAAAGAGGTGTACATCGAATCCAATGACTCTACCACTCAACCTTCTTCAACCAACCCTCAACAAGCACCCTCTAGTTCCGTTGTCTCCACTAACACAAATAATGGCTCTGATCGTGTGGTCACCATGCAAGTCAGTATATATCTAGTAATTGTACACAGAAGAATAAAGGAGTCTCAATCAATAAACAACTGACATGAATTCTTAATATCCAACGTTTTACTGTTTCTTTCGGTTGAAATCGTACTCATCTACGTTATGTACATGACATCCGATCTGTCACCTGAACAAAAAACCCTCGGGATTTTCGTCAAGGATGGTAGCTATGGGATACGGCAGGCCAAGAAAGATTCCAATCCCTTGGAGTAGCATTCTATCGTGGAGCGGATTGCTGTGTATTAGTGTTCGATGTCAATAGTTCCAAAAGCTTCGAAACTCTCGATAGTTGGAGGGATGAATTTCTGATCCAGGTTTGCACCCTTTTTCTCTTCTCAATCCGATGCAACAGACTTTGATTGCTTATGTCTGGATTCTTCTTCCTTTTTTGTCTAGGCTTCTCCTCGTGATCCTGATAACTTTCCTTTCGTCGTCTTGGGCAATAAAATCGATGTTGAAGAAAATAAAAGACAGGTCAGTTAACACCTATCCACTAACAAAAAAAAACTCAGCAAAGTCAATAGAAATGTACAAATGAAACATTAAATATTAAATCATGACGATTTACTAAAAAAAACTTCCTTATTTTCCTTACATCCATCATCGACATTCAATACACTATATATAAAAACTTAATGAGGATTGAAAAAAACAAATATAGGTATCACAAAAGCGAGCGATGAGTTGGTGTCAATCGAAAGGAAACATCCCATACTTTGAGACCTCAGCAAAAGAGTCCATCAATGTCGAACAATCGTTTATCGCGGCCTGTCGAAATGCATTAAGTGTCGGAGACTCGATGGATGATGGGTCAGCAGTTCACACTCTCTTTTCCTGATCATCAACTTGATTTTCTTTACCAAAACATTACTTTTTTGGAATGAATGAATGAATGGGTTTTTATTAGTTTCGCCGATTATCCTGATCCGATTATGTTGAATTCCGAGGGCCAACAGAGTTATGGATGTGGATGTTAAGAAGCAGAACTAAAAAAAAGAGTGAGTGGGTGAAGGGGGAAGAAGGAAGGTTGGACGGACGACCCGGTCTGGAGCCTGTTTGTGTGTGGCTTGGCTTGTCACTTCTTCGCGCTCGCGCTCTTTCCTTGTTTTGTCTTTTGTCTCTTAACCATTAACTGAATGCCAACCAACCATCTCTCGAACTACCAATTCCTTCATTTTTTTTTCTTTTCTTTATTTCTCCTCACAAACATCTTCCTCTTTTGTCTTCCTAATTTTTTTTTTCTCTGACTCTCTGCTTCTTATTACATATATAAACCGACAAATAATAATCTTTGTGTTTTCATTTGGTGACTACTGTTTGTTGATCTGGTTGTGATTGTGAATTCGATTTTGTGCATCCATTTGTCCTGAAAAAAATACATCATTTCTGGTCACAGATTTTTTTATTCTTGTTATCTCTCATTGCCTATGTTCTTTACAATCTCCATTCACATAAATGCATACATACATTACACATATTTGGTCAACTTGGATTCTCTAATTCTTTTCTCTTCCCTCTTTCTGTGGTCTTGTTTTGTGATAGCTTTTTATGGTTTTATCTACATAATTAAGAGCTATCAAAGAGTTAAGGTTTTAAGGAAACAACCACACAAGACTGAATCGTCCTACATGATAATCCATCGGAACCATGACAACAAAAAAAAAATGGGAAAAAAACTTGCGCAAGTGCATACTACCCATTTGGGCCTTTCCAGCTTTGCCGGGTGGGTGCACCTTGGAGGTGGAGTCAGTAAAAGGAACCTCGATGGGCTGGATTCCACCTTAGGAACTACTCGCTGGGCTGGATTCAATTTCCACCTTGGCAGGCGGCTTGTACCTGCTAGCCAAGAATACTTTCTCCCAAGGGAGCATCTCCAAGCGCCTGCTTTGTGTTTGGGGGGAAGCTTCCTTGGTTTGTGGGGAAGATTCCTCCTTGGCGAGCACCTTGTACAGGTTCACCACAGAGAATCGGAGCCTGCGCGAAGTGCGGAAAATTTCCGCGCGGATCTGGTAAGTGCGGAATTTTGTACTGAGCTGTACAGACCAAAAGAGCTGTACAGACAAACAGGTCCATCCGTATTGGGAGGCGGGTTTCGGACTGGTTTCATCAGTGGCCTGGTGTCGGTCAAGTATCATGATGCTACTTGGTGGAAGCTACATATTATATGATATAATAATTAAGGATTGTTGAGAAAATAAGAACGACTATTCCGAGCCCTCAAAGAAGCAAGACTAACTATTCCGAGCCTTCAAATAAGCCTTCCTCTGCATGAGAAGCTGCCTAGATCTGTTAGTATGTACTGAGCTATTTGGTAGGGGAGACTGTCATCAAATAAGCCTTCCTCTGCATGAGAAGCTGCCTAGATCTGTTAGTATGTACTGAGCTATTTGGTAGGGGAGACTGTCGTCAAATAAGCCTTCCTCTGCATGAGAAGCTGCCTAGATCTGTTAGTATGTACTGAGCTATTTGGTAGGGGAGACCGTCGTTGCTCAACAAGCTCAATGATTTGGCGCGGGATTGGTCAGCGGACTAGGAGTTACTGGTCCTTCTGACGGAGAGCGACTTTGGGATCCCGGCGCGCCCGAGGACGGTGGGGGTGGAGAGGTCATAGTGCTGTTCTTCTCCCTCCATTCTGTCCTCAGTCTCGTTGGCATCCTCATCTGACCCCTTGCGAGGAAGACGGGGAGTGAAATCGCTACCAGATGCCTCAACCGTGCGTGGGTTGGGTTGAAAGTTCTTCCCTTGAAGCAAGAAGGATGAGAGCAAGCGGTTGAAGATGAGGGCGCCGATTTGGATGCTGATGCTGGGGTTGGTTATTGATGCTTTAATGAGATCGAATCTTCCAAGAGTGAGTTCAAATCTTTGTCCCTAAGTCTTTGAATCTTTTGATCAGAACTAAACTCAAGGGATCTCAAGACTCTGCCGGTCGCCAGCTTTCTTTATTGAGGTGAACATTAAAAAATTTCTGTAGTATTTCTCTTCATCTTCCATTAATGTTCCCAAGGCCAAGATCTTCAAACATACATACACGCAAAGAATGCACATGGCGACTCAAATCGCATCCATCAAAAACTACCCCAACGTAAACAGGGAATAGTACGGAAGCCCTGGACCAACATCAATCGCGCCAGGTAGTTTGGACATTCGGTTCAGTTTTGGACATCTTGTTTTGTCCTTGGTATGCGAAGATGCCGGTGTGACTTCCGGACTTGGAATCTTTTGTATGCTATACATATTTTCCCAGAAGCCCATACCCCAAAACGAAAAACAAAATCAACCCCGAAATTGCACTACACAGCGGGCTTAATCCCCCTCTGTGGCCGGGCCCATTGGCCCAACTGCGGTCCTCAAGAACCAAACTCAGTTCCAATGATGCATTTGATGTGACAACCGCGGTTCAGACTCTGATCCCGCACTGTGTTTTGGCTGACATTTCAAATTGAGATGAACATAATTATTCCTATTTAATTATTCTACCACCTTTCTTTTCCCCTACATACTCTGCTTTGTCTCTTACTGATCATTTGTTTTGCTCACTTATTCAGATGGACTTCTATGCGGATGAGTCCTGGACCCCCGTCATGGAAAAAGCACCTTGGCGGTCGTTTGTGGTCCCTCTAGTCCAATGACCAGGTTTCAATCTGTTTGTCTTACTTCCGTTCAAATTGGGTGGCCGGCCTTTACTCTTCCACATCGTCCGAAGTTGGTCGGAATCTATTCTTCTCTCTATGTTTAACCTGCACCCTCACACCAGGTAAGCTGAACCCACCATTGTCTGCATCACCCACACCCCTGCGATCACCTTCCTCATGAACGATTTGACTCGAGCTCAGGAAGAATCCCAACCGGAACACCCAGGACCTCTCCTCGCCGCTCTAATCATTACCACCGCCATTGAGAACCCCAACGATGTTTGCAGAAACTCAGCCCCTCCCTACAGACACCAAGCTGTCCTCAAATTTGCCGCCAACACTGGATCTCAAGCTATTCACTTGTCAGTATCAATCTTGATTCTCTATCTCGTTTGAAGGTTTAGATGATTGAAAACTGTGCTGTTTGGAAACAAAAAAACCCAGCCGGAAACTTCACCAACTACATCACCCACTCTGCCAAAGAACCTCGATTGATCGTTTGTTATGATCCCAACGAACGAGAAGGTATGATCCCAACGAACGAGAAGGTCAAACACTTGGTTGGTTTGATCTGGTGGCTCTTGTGTCGAGAGGTCCTCCACCTCCAAGGTACCGTTGTAAATCCTTGTCAAAACGTGGGTGGCTGGCTTTCATCTCAGCTAACCCTTATCCAATCACTACTGACAAATGTCACTTCCCTTCAGAGTGTTTCCAGTTCGGTTCTTTTGGGAAAGAAGAGGACCCAGATGCATGTGAGGTATGAGAGGGATTCCCAACCGTAACTAGTAATTTCTTGCTGTCTCATCAACCAGTGCATCGAGACCCCTTGCACCAAGACCCTCCTCCTTTGCATGCAAAGGCCCCTCAGTGGCCATCTTTCCAGACCGTCCCACACAATGATAATCCAGAAGTTGGCCATCTTAAGGTTTGTGGGGAGTATCCCACAGATCTTGGTGGTTGTACTGAAGGAGAAACAGAGTGATGGTAGAGTGGATGGAAAGCACACCTCCCTCTTACATGTGAACAAAGTGCGAGGGGGGGGGCGTCAAGATGGCCATTCTAGCCGAAGAGACACTGGTGTGGTTATTTTGTTACAAATGACAGGTTTGGAATGAGAAAAAAATAAGTACTATGAAACAAGAAGAACTATTTACAATTGTTCAGAACATGAAGCCATGGTTGCCTCAGATGATAGGAGATGGTGGTTCATACAAATCCAAGACAGATGCGAGCAAGTAAGTACATCATGAAATGACCTCAGGCAATTCACTATCGTCAGAGCTTGCAATATAGGACCCATGCCTGGATCCTATGGGACGGCGGCAAGTCCTTGGCGTGCAGGCCTGCACGCCGGTCTACACTCTGTAGATTGGCGTGCAACTGGAATTATTCCCAAGTTGGGAATAATTCCAGTCTTTTTTTGTAAAACATCCTCTATGTAGACTGAGACACCAGCTTTGACAAAGCGTTTTTCTGGCGATGGCTTGGGGTCTGGAGTGCGAGAGGAACTGGCCCGCCTGACTTTTGGGGTTGAAATGTCACATTTGGTCTGCGCACGGGCCTCTTTGGCCAAACCTTTGTAAAACATATGTGTTCCCGTATCAATTGCAGTTAGAGAACGGCGGGAAGTTAGCAAGTTTGATGGGCCTGCAGTGAGGCTGTTGCGTGGGTGGATTTGTGTGCGGGTGGTAGAGGGACCAGAAAGGGCTGATGGGGTGGGTTGTGTGGGGGAAGGGGGTTGATAAGTGCAAGCCAACCCCCCACGCGCACGCCAACTGCAGATTGGCGTGCGCGCCTGCACGCCATTGCAGAATGGCGTGCAGGCAGGCAAGCCATTTGCCTGCAGGGGTATACCCTGCAGGTTGGCGTGCCTGCGTGCACGCCCAACTTTAGGTCCTAAACCCATATTTATATGCGTTTAGGACCTGGGCTGTCCCATAGGACCCAGGCATGGGTCCTATGGGACTCTTTTTTTTTTTTTTCTTTCTTTTTTTTTTTCCCTCGGCCTAGAGAGGCTGAGGTCACACAGCCGGGAGGAACCCCTCCCGGCTCGCCGGTCTACAGTCCAGCGGAAGGAAAGCCTTCCGCTGGACGAGGTACATGTACCTCATCCATCGGAAGGAAAGCCTTCCGCTGGACGAGGTATGTCAGCTCCCGTCTCTTGGGTGACTGGGAGTTGATGGTGATTAGGGTCACACTATTGTTGTTTACACAACGTAGTGGAAAAGGGTCGCACTATTGTTGATTAATCAACGTAGTGGAATGAGCTACTTCCTTATATTAGAGCACGGGAAGAGCTGCTCCTTACAATTGTAAGGGACGACAGCTGATTAATTACGCTGCGCCAGGCTTATGAGAAAAGGAAATTAATTACTAGTCTAGTTACAAAGGATAACAGTAACTGACTAGTACTAAATAAAGGAATAGAGTACTATGTAATGTAGAGTAAATTAGATTATAAAACCCCACTCACTTATTATA